CACACACACACACACACACACACACACACACACACACACACACACACACACACACACACACACCTCTCATGCATTAACAAAGGAGGCCACAGGGTGAAATGATCAGGACCACATTCAGTATTCACCTTTCACAAATTAAGTCAACTGTCTGCGCCTCACAGTTTGTGTTTATACAGATGTGCAGGTATCAGAGAAGATGTGTATTAATGACAAGATTTCACCCCAAAACTACAGAGCACCTGCATCATATGCAATCTATAACACAATTTTTAAAGGGCCCAAAATAAAATAAAAATAAAAATAAAATAAATAAAATAAAATAAATGTCCTGATTTATCTAATTAAGAGTCTTAAAAGGACAGTTTTATTATTATTTTTAATGAATATATAGCTTAATTATTTTAAATTAAATAAATAATTTTTAATAACAGCTATAAGGCACAAGCAACATATGTGATATAAAACACAATTCAAAATACTGCCACGATTTTGGCAATAAAAAATAAAATAAAATAAAATAAAATAAATGGCCTGGTTTACTTAATTAAGAATCTTAAAAGGTAGACAGTTTTTTTGATATTAATAAATTACACATTTTATTTATAGTTTAATAATTATTTTAACAACAATACCAACTACAGGGCACCTGCACCACAAAACACAACTTTCAAATAATGTTATGCCCAATTATGTTAAAACAAATATTGCCAATCTTATATATCTAACTATAAATAACTTCCATTTACTTCCAATAATCTTACATATAGCTCTTAAATATGATATAATATAACCTTTTAAGACATAAGATAAATACGCACCTAAATGTAAAATTTAATTTAAATGTTAAATCTAACTCTTAAGCAGGTTTGAGATTCGTATGGAATTAAAATGAAGTATTTTTACTGGGGACCGAGAGTCTATTTATACTGTAGATGTACAGTATCAGAAGTGATGTGTATTAAAGCTCTGAGATGGCAGGCAGGAGGATTATGACACATTATGATGGTGAAGATGAAGATGTGTTTGCATGAGTTTCTCACCCCGTCATGCACCAGAGCCTTCCATGTGTGTTCCAGCTTCTTTATGAGTCTGCAGAAAAACACCAACATCAGCTTCACTTCACAGACTCACAGAAGCACTGAGTGTCCTGATGGAGAGCTTTGGATTTATTTTTGTGACTTAATGCAGTCTTCTAAAAAATGTTACATAAGAGCATAAAACAACCCCAAATGCTAGTGAAGATTATAAAGCCATGCGGCTCATCACAGCCGCTCTGTATGAGATTCTCTAACTGAGGCTCAGCAAAAGAGCACAAACACACACTAATGGAGAACGAACGAGCAGCATAAAATAAAATAAAATAAAATAAAATAAAATATAAAATAAAATACAATAAAATAAAATAAAATTCACAATCGCTATTAGATGAATAAATAAATAAAAAATAATAATAATAAAAACATTTTGTTTAATTTTTTTAAATACTCAAATTTTTCTATTTTGCAGTGACATATTACAATAGTAATATTTCTTTTTTTATCTGTTTAATTTAGAACTAAATTAAATTAAATTAAACAAAATAAATAAACAAATACATACATACAGAATTTAATTATTTCCTTAATTCAGAGTCTTATATGCAATAGAAATGTGAATATGCAATATAAAACAATTATAAAAATGCCAATTTTGCTTAAAAACAAATTTTGTCACATTTTTGCCACTTAACCAATATATAAATAAATGGTCAGATTTACCTAATTAAGAGTCTTTTAAAAGCTTGACAGTTTCAAAAACATTATGAATGTACAGCGCAATAATAATTTAAAATTAAATAAAATAATTTTTAATAACGTCAAGGCACAAGCGCCGTTTGTAATATTAAACACATTTCAAAATATCACAACTTTGCCAATAAATAAATACATAAATCAAATAAAAATAAATAAAGTAAATAATTCAGAGTCTTAAAAGGCAGGCAGTTATTTTATACATTTATATTTAATAATTATTTTAACAACAATATAGAGCACCTGCACCATAAAACACAATTTAAAAAGACCTACTTAGCTTAAACCAAATATTGCCCCAATGCTTTATTTGTTTGCTAACAAACAAATCAATAAATAAACAAACAACTGTTATAGTTTAATAATTATTTTAAATAATATTTTTTAGATATCAATATATATATATAAAACTGTTAAATCTAAATCGTACATAAAGCTCCTAAATATGATACAATATATAAGATTAATATACCTAAAATTTAAATTTTACTTGAAATGTAAGCAGGTTTGATATTCGTAAGACAATCACTTAAATCCCTCCTGAAAATAAACAAACAAATAAATAAATGTGGGCATTAAAATAAAGTATTTTTTGGGTGGAGGGATTTAGAGAAGAGAGCGGATCTGAAATGTGCTTTATGAATGAACTGATTTGATTGATGTTGTGAATGTGATACGTTGTATTTTGGGACCCGCTCGAAAAACGAGATGTTAAATCTCAAGGGGTTAATCCTAATAAATAAATTCAGATTTGATAATCATAAGTGTGTGACCTGTAGGACTGCAGGATGTCTATGATGCCGATGAAGAGCAGGAGTCTCTCTCCTTTGCCGTTGACAGCAGGAATGCCTCCCATCCTGCAGAGAGAGCAGAGAATCAGCGTGTGCTGCGGCATCGAATCAAACTCGTGATGTTAAATCAGAGGCACGCACGTGTCTTCGGTGTCTATGGAGCCTCCGCACGCCGCTCCTCCCTGAATGGACTCCATGGCGGTGGAGTAAAGCGCTCGCTGCGCGGCCGGTCTCTTCTCATCGCTGCTGCTCTGAGATCCCTCCATCTGCTGCTCGCGCTCCGCCTGATCCAGATTATGAACCCCCAGCAGCAGACTGTAGTCCATGATCTTAAAACTCTCCAACACCTGCACACACACAGCAACCCTGCGGTTTATATCTGCACTAACCCAACGAGGGCTGCATGATCAATCCAAATAGAATCTAAATCACAGTGTGGCTAAAATAAGTAACAATATAAAAAAAAAAAATACAAAAAAAATATTATTATTGTTTTATTTTTCTTAAGTACTTGCTTTTTTTTCTAATTTTACACTGAAATATTAAAATAGCAATATTTTTTATTTAGTTTTTATTATTTAAAAAAGTATATTTTTATTTATCAGCAATAATAATGAATAATTCTATACATTCATTTAGTAGCAATAATAATAATAATAATTATTATTATTATTATTGCTACTAAATGAATGTATAGAATTATTCATTATTATTGCTGATAAATAAAAATATACTTTTTTAAATAATAAAAACTAAATAAAAAATATTGCTATTTTAATATTTCAGTGTAAAATTAGAAAAAAAAGCAAGTACTTAAGAAAAATAAAACAATAATAATATTTTTTTTGTATTTTTTTTTTTTATATTGTTACTTATTTTAGCCACACTGTGATTTAGATTCTATTTGGATTGATCATGCAGCCCTCGTTGGGTTAGTGCAGATATAAACCGCAGGGTTGCTGTGTGTGTGCAGGTGTTGGAGAGTTTTAAGATCATGGACTACAGTCTGCTGCTGGGGGTTCATAATCTGGATCAGGCGGAGCGCGAGCAGCAGATGGAGGGATCTCAGAGCAGCAGCGATGAGAAGAGACCGGCCGCGCAGCGAGCGCTTTACTCCACCGCCATGGAGTCCATTCAGGGAGGAGCGGCGTGCGGAGGCTCCATAGACACCGAAGACACGTGCGTGCCTCTGATTTAACATCACGAGTTTGATTCGATGCCGCAGCACACGCTGATTCTCTGCTCTCTCTGCAGGATGGGAGGCATTCCT